GCGAGGCTTACTATGCTCCTTCTAGAGAATAAACATTATTTTGTATAAAAAAAAATTCTATTTTGTTCGAGATGTCTTAGGCAGAATCAGCAATTCAGAGCATAGACATGTTTTTTTGCATATCAGGGAACTATTATCGATTCGGATTTCTATATCATAAGGCCCTTATAATGAATTATTCGGAAATGAAAGTACTTCTGACAATAATCGAACAATTATTTAGAAATTATGACTTACCACTAATAATAATAATGAAACCTAACCTAGCATTTAAATACTCCTGCGAACATTGTTAAGGTCGATCAATGCAATGTAGATGTTGCCAGACTACGAAGCTGGCTGTGCATTGTTCATCACAATTGGTTTTAAATATACCTAGGCATATACAATACGATTTACATTCAAATTATACCCCTAAGTCCTTTAAATCGATAAGCTATAAAAATAATTGGCTTTTTAAATTGCTATACCCTGTACCTATTGAGAACGGATTAAAAAGGGTATAATGGTTCTATGCAAATATATGTAACAGGCAGGTTATATTTTCATTATAATATAATTTAAAGTATAAATCCAAAAAATGTAATGTAGTATTTTTATATAATGAACAAATAACAAATATTAATTAATATGATAAGTATTTAGAATTTTCAATAGTGTGTGACTAGGTATAAGAAGCACAACCGCTGCGTAAAGAGCGTAAAGTATGATCGATGATGGGTATATCTAAGCGGAGGATCCTCGATTACAGCACTCTTGAAAGTTGTATAATGTTCTTAAAAACCGTGTATTTTAATGGATAATAAAAGATCTGTCCGACCCATAAAGCATATATATTCTTGATACGAAACTCTGAGACAGACTACTATCTATATCATATAGTTGTCAGAGGAATGATTGGTCGAAAATTAAACTGTGTCCAGCTTGGCATATATTATATTCCCTCCATATAGTAATAATATTAACAACATCGGCTTACTATATTATGTAGCTGCTATAGGATAAATCGGTCTAAAAGTAGGTTTTTGCATGAAGAACTTTTTTTGTTTATTGAGATATGTAAATAAGGTTGCATATTGTGTAGATCTATTAGAAGAATCGGTCGAATAATGAAATTTTGTTTCGCTATATGTTATATGCTTTAATATACCTTCACAGCTATTGAGCCTCCCAATTATTATCATATGTTTGTGAACAGTTATTAATACAATTTTAATATGCATAGGTTCAGGGATCTCCGATCCCCATACATTTATATATTTTATCTCTGCATCAGCAGCCGAGTTGCCATAGGAGGCAGTTCATACGTGGGAACTAGTAGTATCGCACCACTACTTTATATAGTTGACTTATTTTTAAGTTTAATTTGCCCATAATAAGTGTTTTCTGCCAGGGTATAAAAACATACTCATGCATGCCTACTTCGAAGGAAATATTTGATTTAGCTGGCCACATGCATTAGAGGAAAATAAAAACAATTTATAAATGTTAATATATTTTTAAAATTATAAAAAGTTCTTTGCTCTCCCGGCGTTTCTGTATATAAATCTGATTGTCTTAACTGATTGATCGGCTGACTGATGATCAGCCCAGACCGCTAGATCAATGATGAAATGTTAACTTCTCTAATGAGTTCTGCTCTCAATCGTAAAAAACTTGTAGACAGCGGTTGTAAAAAACTTTTCTGCTTTTCATACGTCCACTACCAAATTCTTTTTTGAAAGACCTTCCAGAATGTTACATGTATACACTGACTATATGGGCTATGCAATAAGTTAAGTTAAAAGATTATAAGGACATCGGAGGTGGGCGTGGCGGTTTTTGACTGTTGAGTCTATTTTAAAGCTGTGGGATACACCGATTTTCGCAGTTTGCTTGCAACACACACACACACACATACACACACACATATATATATATATATATATATATATATATATCGAAACAAGATTAATAAAAAAAAACCAAATATTGCGTTCGGAAATCGAAAATTGCAACAAGACAGATGTAAAAAATCAATAGACCACCTTTTCTATGAAAACTGAGCGTAAGAACCGATATTTAATCTGTATTTAAAAACAAGTTAGAGCGCTCTACTCCGCTATTTTCCGACATGGGGATACGCATTCTTATTTTTTTTATAAGCTGTGCACTTTACGCAGTACATGTACTTCATTGCATATAAATATAATCAAAACAAATATATTTATTTTTAATTTGGTGGAAATTTAAAAAGTGAAATATCCGGCAAATGTGTATGTATATAAGAATCTACTTAAATAATATAATCTTCAGTTAATAACTCGTTATAGGGAGAACATATATATTTCCAAATTAAATCTCCAGCTTTTGTGTTACATATGTTTGCAGACAGCCATAATACCCGTTTTAATGGATACAGACCATTAAATGTGTTCGACAGAATTTTAATGTGTATTTTACATAAAAAGTGGGCCTTTCTGGTACCATAGCTTGGATTCTTAATTATATTTGCATTACTCGTAAAAAATGTGCAATATCTTATATATTATTGTGTGGAATTGCTATAAAAGTGAAATTCAGAACATTTGTGATAGCCTTAAGTGTTGCAAAATTAAATATATATAATTCAAAAATCTACCATTCTAAGAATATACAAATTCTAAAAAGCGGTTTTTGCGCATTCGTGTATATAATTAATATGCATTTTTAAATAATTGGTAACGGTGGCCCTCATAACCTGCTCAATTAATTAACTTGAATAAATATTTATGCAAAGGTTTTATATTTAAATTTTTGTTAAGTTTATCACAAGGCTTTAAGGATTGAATTAGTTTAGCTAAAATGTTTTAATTTAAGTATATTGTTTTTATTTTTATGTACTTTTTGTTTGTTGTGTAGTTTTGGTCTTCTATATGCAAATGTTGTGAGGCATTATTTGCTTTCAAGGTAAATTGTATCTAAAATACCTGGGCCAGTTGTTTATAATTGAGTTAACATAGCTTCTACATTTTTTTATTTGTTTAAACTTATTTGTTTTTACTTTATATATTTTATTTTATGCTTTCATGCTGCTTTATTTGCTTTGATATGTTTTTAATTATATTGTTGAATCCAATTCCTTTCTTGTGTGGTTTAGTTGAGTGCAATTATAAGACATATACGACAATATTAAAATACTAATTCATAAATTATTGAAGATTATTAACATATTTTGAAACTCCTGCTTAATTGCTGGCTTGTTGCATTTTAGTAATAGAAAAGACCTAAGAAAATATTAGTGCTCTAGTCGAGCGTGGTCGACTAGTTGATACCCTGTACCCACCTCTAACATTTGTACTTACATGTATTGTATTTCCCACAAAAACACATATTGTGTGTTTACTCAAACTCATCAAATCCTGATAGCAGAGGACATTCAATATGAATATTGAAAGGCATTTAAAAATGTTAATAAGTGCGATAAGCACTAACTCTTATAGTCACATCTACTCAAGAAAGTAGAGTTCTAAATTGATATTAATTGATTTGTAGGTAAACAAAGTTTCATTATTTTAGACCCTTAGCTCTTTTCGAGAACAATGAGTTTAAACAGACTGACAGGTGGACATGGCTATAACAACTAATCTCAACTTTTTGATATAAGATATATTTTTCTAAGAGGAGATTTCTTCATCCCCTTTTTGACCCAGTCTTGATGGATACAGAGTATTAAAACTAGTGTTGGCAGCAATTAATGCACTGAAAAGAACAAAACATTTATTTTGAGAAAAAAATAAAATAGAAACAGAGCATACAAATATAACTATAATTCTATAGATACACAAATATATAATTTCGGGAAACTCAAAATATGTAGAATAATATCTTGACATATTTGAAGGCTTTAAAATAAATAAAGTAACTGAACAAAATTTATTTTCAGGCAAAATATTTGACTAGAAATGTTGTAAATAACATATGCATAACTTCATATGTATAAATACGTCTTTTTTGCAAGGTTTATTCTTCATTCATTGTTTTATTTTTTTTTTTTTTTGATAGCCTGGATCACCTTTTTTATTATTTTTCTTTTCAACTACGGTTAGATACTTATAGCTTTAAAGCTGATTTTTGTTTGCTTTTTATGCTAAGGTCTTTTATTTTAGACGGCGTTTCTTTTTGGTACATACTTTCAGCATAAGTTCTTCAAATATCGGTTTAAATATTATTTATGAAAATAATTATATATTTCATCTTGCCAAACATTTGATTTTAAGCAATATCAATACGTATGAATTTTACTCTGTTCACAAATTAAAAATGAGTATATTGGCTTTGTGCATTGGCTTGCTTCCCGTTCGCTTGTCCGAATGAATGCAACCTTTGTTACCCTATCAAAGACATCAAACTTGAAATCTATTTATATATTCGTATCCCGTGTACATCAGTGCCAGACTATTTGCTAAGACTTCTGGCCACGCAAACTAGGCGGATCGCAAACTGCGAAATCGGAACCTTATACAATTTGAAAGCTAGAGTCAGAAATATTGCAGGCAGACTTCTCCAGACTCTCTCTAAATCCCAAATGCAATTACCGACATTTCGCAGTCACAGTTTCAAAGTCACTGTTTTAGAATAACATTCTTGGAGCCAACAACCTAACCAAAGTTTTTGTTTGTCTAATTTAAGCTATAATTATACTGCGAACAGAGTATTGAGCAGTCGGCTGCACCCGACTGCTACTGATTTGCTTGTTTATTTGTAATGTCGTATAAATAATATTATATTATATAATATTAATAATAAACAATTCGTTTGTATATTTATTTTAATAAAAAATTTTATGTTTTTAACTAGGGTTGTTCTTGTTTTTTTTTTTTTTTATTGACGATTAGCGTTGTTTATCACTTGTTCTTTGTTTTGCTTTGGTTTTTACTATATACTTTTTATATGCTTTAACTTATTTGTTAATTTTTAAATAAATTAGTTTGTGTTGTTTTTTTTTTAAATAAATTTAAGTTAAATGGCTTTGCAAGACCTTTAGAACTTTCAAATTTTGACTTTTATGATGTAATTCCACATTTTTAGATTATCAAATAATTTTATGCTGTTTTTATGCTGTTTCCTTAAGCGCAAGTTAATGGATGTTACTTTTAGCTTAATTTTATGAAAATCCCTTATAGTGTACAAAGAAAAATATGAGAAATATGGCATAAGCTGTTGGAAATGTTATTCTCGCAATGACATCAATCGTCTTCGCCACACGTATCGGATGCGGTGGTTCTTTCTTGCGCATCTGAACAAAGCAGGTCTAGAAATGCATAATTAAAATATATTGTTAGTGCCTCTTAGCTTAACTTAACTGCGCTAAAATAAATATCTCACCTCCGTGGCACATCCATTATTAGCGGAGTGGGTGCATGGGCTATTGCTGCTTCCGCATGTGGTGCATGCCACAATCTCATTCGGTGCTCCGGCGTCACGTCGCTTTTCGCCCTAATACATTTAAAATATTAAAGCGATTAATTATTGATCACTTGCAAAGGAATATAACACTTTAAGGCACTTCAAATGAATTTTCATCACAAGCAAATAGAACTATAACCTTTTTAACAGTTCAAGTTTTATGTTTTTGATTATAAAAATGATGCGAATAACTTGCTTAGGGATCGGTTTATAGAGTAAACAAACTGTGTAAAATATTACATGTACAATTCAGAGTAAAACTTCTAAAAGGCTAGCAAATAAAGTCGTTGCATTGAAATTCTTTCCTTTGTCAAGTATACCTTGCATACAAGATATAGCCAGCTTTATTGGGTATAATATGTATTGAGAGTGTCAAAAGGTTATAGCTCCGGCCACTTAAAGCGTGTATATTTATCATCATCTCAAGTTTTGGAATTTTTGAACAAAGTATTTGAATAAAAGATAGTTTTTGTGAAAATGTATCGGATAAACAGACCCCATCAGGTATAAATATTTTAGATAAGGACGACGAGCTTTTCTATTGTCTGTCTGTCTGTGTATCTGATTGCGTGAACGCACTCTTCTCGAAAACTAAAGAATTCAAATTTGAAATATAAACTGTCGTATTGATTTTGAGACAACGATTTAGGTAAACCTCCTATAAGTGGAATACACACCAAACATGGTATTAATTATTTAAAATAGCTCCGCTTTTTATACAAAATTGAAAAATATATCTCTCTCTTGTGTACCATATTTAAGCCCTGAATTGATACACAGCCCATCATGGCTAGATTCTCTCGGATTTTGGTAGTATTTAGCCATTAATGTTCAATATTGCTACGCAGAATGCCAATTATGCCAACTACCCTAAATGTGCGCTAAGATAATTTTAACTAATTTGAAGAGGAATACAGCGTATTTTTCTGCATACTTACGGGCTATCACAGTTGTACAATTTTTTTTTGAAGGCAGCATTTAAGAATTATGAAAGTTGGGCATTAAATGTTTTATTTAGAGAATTTTGCCTAACATTTTGGTTCGTACCATTATTTGTTATAGCTGTTACCCTTGCAGATGGTATTATTATTATAATAATATTATAATTGTACGATACGCAATTATGTTGATATACATGATGGCAATATTGTAATATCGATATTTGATTCTAATGAATTGGTTGTAACAATCCATAAGTATCTTCTATCTTTTTGTTGCAGGCAGTACAATAAATCGTGGCGGGCATTTGGTTAAGATACATTGAGAAGCAATATAGGCTTTGATTATGGGACTCTGTGATGTGGTTCTATCAAACCAAAATGTATTTACATCAGACTGCCTACAATATATTTTCTGATTGGATTTCAGACTATTAAACTGAATTTCTTATTTACGCAGCGTTGTTTGCCTAGATATACGCCAATACTGCAAGGGTATTAAACCTTCGGTACACCGAAGAATATTTATTTTTAATAATATTTTTTTGTTGTTGATATGGCATGAGAATTTTGTTTAGGATTTATGCAGTAGATGAGTGGAAAGGCGTATTGTATGAATTATTATTTTTACAAGTGATCAAAGCTTAACATCATTGAAAACGTTATTGTACGTAGGAGGTGCGAAGTTTTAAGTAATTTAAGCAATGGAAATTAATAAGTATTTTAAACGTGCTCAAAAATTACATATATAAAGCGCGTGCGCAAAGAAAGGGTTGAGTAAAAAGCTTCTACTTTTTATACCCTGTATCCACGTGAAATGGGAATTCTGGTCTTGTACAAAATGCATTTTCAAAACGAGAGACAGCCAGCCCCGCAATCTATATATTTATTTGTATCGCAATGGCTACATTGCTTGACTTACGGGTGATCCCCAAACAGACTGAAATAGCTAAAAGCCTGCGTTTTCCTTTTAACTTGTTCAATGATTTTATTAACTCGTATGTTGTTGGATGATAAATTGACAAAGAAAGACGAGAAAATATCTTTTACATTTTTAATATTGGACACCAAAAATATTATTAAGATAGTGTATAAATACGGCAGCATCAACATTTTATAGCAAGATAGAAATTTTTCATCTTTTTTGATCTGATCAGACTGATCAGGTTTATCAGACTGTTTATTTATTTATTTATTTTTATTATCTTACTACTTAAAAACTTTTTTAATTCGGTTTGAAGTAGTGTTTTTTTGCGAATAACTGAAACAGCCGTAGAAATTTATTGTCGCTAAAACGGCTTTAAATAAATTGTAAGGCACATCTTAACTAATCTCTTTTTCTATACAACTTCAATTGAATGTACCGGTGATACCAATTGCCAAATAATCTCGCTGCATCATTGAGAGGTATAATATCCAGCATTGCTATATTTATGATGATGCTTTTAGACTCAACAAATTCATTTCTTCGGATACGCAAAGTACAGCTGGGATAGGCCTTATACTTTAGTACTCCTGGTACTGCGCAGTATCTTTGATGAAAACTTATATTCATTGAGTTTTATATGTATTTTTTAATTTTGTATACCCTGAACCCATTAAAAATGGGCAAAATATACCCTATATTGTATGTTTGCAAAATGCAAATGTATGTAACAGGCAGAAGGAAGTATCTCCGACGCCATAAAGAATATATATTCTTGATTAGCATCAATAGCCGAGTCGATCTAGCCATGTCCAAGTTTGGTAATGTGTGAAATACGTAACACATGAAATTGAGCAAAAATCTTTTAGTTTGAAGCTAATAAGCATAAAACAGCTTTTCGTCTAAATTCCACAGTTGCGAATGGGACTTAATAATAAGTTTGGAGCAGATCGAACGAGACTTTGGAGAAGGCTTCGAAATGTGTAAAACACATTTTTGATGATTTTCCATTAAGTTCTTTGGCAACGAATTTGAATGTGAATTTTCACCAGCCAAATCTTTGACGCCCATTTATACCAAAGAGGAATGAATTATCCCAAAAGTGTGAAGCATCCGTCAAATGAATTTGAAAAAAAAAATAAAAATGAATTTGAGCAAAGATCTTTGAAAATGAGTTTGAGGCCGAACAGATGGTAAACAAACTAAGATTCATACAAAGGTGTTTCGCTATTTTTCCATACTTGCGGGTGGAATATCCCCGTCAGGCATCTGCACCACATGAATAATAAAACTAAAAATTTTACCTTAGAAGATTTCGTTTGAGCGATTCGGTGCGTCTAGTTTTTAGGATGTGTAAGTAGCTAGCAACAACCCAACCAATCCGGCTAGAACCGAATCTGGTGAGAGAACGTTACCGAGCCGGAAGTTGCATAAATTGATTCAGAACCACAAAACACGCTAGTAGTAATTTGTGCACAGAAAATGGATAAAATATGGGGAAATTATATTTGTATACTCCTTAAAATGGTATTTTAATTACAGCCAAATTTCATTTAAGTTCTAGGTTGCTGTTATTTTTTTTGCTGTTAATAGCTGCATATAGGACCATTTGTCGTGAAGCAAACATATGTAACTGTCAAAGAAAGTTTTCGTGTAAATATTTAAATTTAATATTATTAAAAACAAGGAGCGTTACAATCGGGTTGACTGCTCGGCGCTACTAACCATACAAAAATTGATTTTGAGTGCTTTTTTGCTTTTTGCTTTTTTGCAGACACATAAACACTCAAAAATTTAAACGATCCCAAAAACATAAAGAGATAGCATTGAGAGCACTGAGAGTAAGTGGGAGCGCAATAAAAAACAGCGACGCCGTTCTATCGCACAAAGGAGTGTGAGTGAATAAAAAGGGAACGATGCCGTTCTACCACATATGTCATATGCATTTTTACTCTCTTGCTGTCTGAGCATGCGGGCGTATCGCGAACCCGAAGAAAAACTAATGCGACTTTGGACCATCCGCGTATAATTTTACACTGGTTGTCCAGCCTAAATGAAAAGAGACAAAAATCGAAAAAAAGTATACTTTTTTTACAGAGTATAAAAATCGATATCGAAATACGCTTTTCGGAGCATATCTCTTTGGCTTCAATGTTGATATGTAGCTTCTCGTATGGTTTACAGATCAAGTAGATTTACAAGAATGCCAATTGGAACAAAAGTCATGTTGTATTTGTGTGCTTTTATTTCAAGTTAGGTAAGTTAGTATGAGCCGTTCCAGTTAGTTAGTTCGGTTGATGGGGGTGCGAGTTCAATCGGATTTTTAGTTTTACTTGTTTAGTTTTAACAAAGTTAATGATTTCTCTTTAAACCTTTAAGTTGGTAAAAGTGAATTTCTTAGTTAAACTTTGAGTGAAAGAGTTGGGTTTAGGGTCTCTTTTATTCGGAGACATACGACTAGAGCACTCTTACTTGCCTAAGCATGTATGTTGTAAGTGCGTTCGGATGTATGTTACGGCAATTCAGAGTAGCGTACTAGGCATCCCTGTCGAATATGTGGAGAGCGGAGAACGACGTAGCACAGTCGCTGTGTAAGGTGCACAGCTTACGGCGTGTGCGTGAGATTTTCTGCATGAATGTGTGAATGTTACATATATAAATTGGCAAGAATTTATGTAATTCGTTTTGGGTTCACGTTGTTATGGCTTGGATTAAGAGTAAACGGTTAACAATAACTGAATAAATTAGTGTTAGTCACTTCGGCTTTTTTCGGCTTGTCGACGGGCAATTACTCACATTTTTCACTTCAGCCGCGGATGTCCTTGTCCCGATTGTTATTCTTGCTTCCATATCCGCCGCGTAGGCGCTGCTTGGTGAATTTGAACGCGAAGATTTTCTGCGTGGCGGCTTTAAAGGTAGTTCTAATTGATGCTGTCGCTCAGCCATTTCGATAAATGGTAATGGTTGGCGCTGCAACTGTTCCTTCACACCTTCTTCTTGTTCTTCCTTTTCTTGTTCGATACGCACCACCAGCGCTGGCGTGCTAGTGCCAACAGAGCGGCGCATCGTGGGAGAGCTATCCTTTTGCTGTACATCTTCAAATCTAACACTAGTCGAAGCCACATTTTTACTCGGCTCAGGCTCTTCATAAATATGCTCGGTAGTCAAACAGGTGGACTTTAGACCTGGCGATGTGGACTTTGATGACGCGCTTCTTGTGGCTTCGTGGCCGCTTTTACGTTTAATAGAACGTGCTCTCAAATTTTGCACTGCTGCACCAATGATACCACCATGTGCCTCTTGCCACCGCATGCCGCTAACAAATTCGTTCTCCGCAGGCCTTTGTGTGCCCGATGAAGATTCGGGCGCGGCCAAGCTCTTAGGGAGCGGCGTACCGGCCATATCCGGTGTGGTGATGGTGCTCGCCTTTTCGTTGGGAGACGACAAAGCAGCGTGAAATTCTTGTTCGATTATTTCCTATCTTGTATTGGTGGATGGGACAGTTGGGTGCAATAGTTTTGTACTTATTTGGTTTTGGTTTTACATGTTGCACGAGCACATTGAAAGAGGAAACATTGATGTTGCGAAGAGAGAGTTGGAGATTGTTTTTAGTTAGGACTTGATTGCTGCATAGTTTTTTTTTAAGTTAGTTGGATTAGTTTAACATGCAGGGTCCTCCTGCTGCTCCATAATTGCTGAGCTTTCAGATCGCAAATTGTAAGATCGGAATTGTAAGGTAAAAGCGTATTTAACAATGACAGTTAGTAGTCGGAAGAATAGGTAATCTAGGTAATCGCTACTTCTGGCAACTCAATTTGCAATTTATTTTGATTACGACTTGTCACTACTTTATACTATTTATAAACCATTGAGTATCTCTAAAAGTTCGTTAACGATTATCAGCAAGGAAACGGAAACGTGAGGGACTTATTATTATTACAGTGGGCCGAGTATATTTTTTTTCAATGCATATTTTGCGACAAAACTAAAAAACGCTCGTCAAGGGCAAAATATAATTTAATGTTTGTTCAAAGTTCCTTGAAGAGCTGAGTAGACTAAGAACAAGGCGGTAAATGAAGATGGCGTAAGATGTGCGTAATTGCTGCTTTGATGACATCGAAAATCTAAAGGAATCTTCTAAAAGTAAGCACAATAGTCAGAGCTAAACAAGCGAACCGGATTAATAATTTCCATAAAAATCGCACAAAACGGCAGCAGCCAATTCACGATATGCTGCTGCTTTAAAACTAAGCATCCATTTTGGGCAATCAGCTGTTCTGGACATTTTCAATCTAGGTTTTATATAAAAAATTTCAAAAATTGAACTGAGCTAAGATCGCTAATTTACCGAAAAACCAAGTAGGGCTTAGATGCGAAAAATTTTAACAGGGATGTATTGGGTGACCATCACAAGTATTGCATGGATAGAGCAACACCAGGCTGACCTGACAGTTATTGTGGGTTGCGCTTTGTTTTAAGGGAAACTGTACAATTCGCTAAATGGATTCCTTTTGCAGGAATGGATATTGTAAGACATGCGGTGGGGTTTTTCTAGTTGCAGAACATAACACTGCTTAAGTGATGAATTTTAAATTGTTCTCTAACACCTATGGAGGATTTTCGGAGAATCTATACTTGCTATGCAACCCAACAGTACGATTCATTTAAATATAAAATTACTAAAATTCACATTTGCACCCTTAGGGATTATTCATTGCCTTTTTGTTTGTCAGAGATAACTATTAATAATCCAAAAAATAAAATTGTAATGAATGCTCATATATTTTTGCTTAAGCTATTACTAATACTACTTTTAAAAACCAGAAGACTAATAAAAACACCGAAACCTTTAATCAAATGGAAATCTTTTATAATAAATTCATAAGATTGCGAGAAGAATTTCAATGAACATATCCAAAGTTAAGGTTCACTTTCCACATGTAAATTATAGTTTTGGCGATAAAATCTTAATACCCTCAATTTAATTTTCTATTTAACCAGTTATATTACAATAAAAGTAATGCTTGCACCGTTAGCTTATACATAAGGTTTACTCACAAGCAAAAATATAAGAGGACATGTATATTAAGTGCGTGAGCTAAGTATTGACAAAAAAACAAATACTGTTATGGATATTTCTAAGGTGTTGGGTTGTTTTGCAATTAAATACTACGACAAATATAGTGAAACACATAATGAATATAACATTAATTCAAAGAAGACTGGAAAAGTATAACTTAACATTCATCAAATACAATTAGCATTAAGATTATAATATATATTTAATTGTACTTGTATTGTGTTGGGTTATTGCACTCATATGCTTCGAGGAATATAATAAGTTAGTCTTAAATAAAGGTATGACCAGATAAATTACCTAAAAAAGCTCTTAAACATACAGCAACAGAAAATCGAAATTAATAACTGTCGGCATTATTCGGTTGCTTCTACATACCTTCAAAACACAATTTACAAATTCGGAATATGGTTAATTTTACAAATATTTCTGAATTTTAAAAACGATAAGGCATCTTTTAGTTATTGCATATGGAGTGTTTGTTGTCAGTAACTCAAAAAAGCACAAAAAACAGGACAAATATTATAACATAAATACTCTTAATAAATAATTAAATAAAATTATATAATAATTTATTGCTCATTTCAGTTTCAGTTTTAAATTAGTACCATATAAAAAGGAACATATTTTCATATGCTCACATTTTTCGAGATGTAGTTTTAACATTTTTCCCAATTGTAAGTGATCTTAAAGTGTGTTTTATTTTTATATTATTTTTATTTACGCAATTAATGTTGTTGTTGATGTTTCCGGCTGCTTGTTATTGTTAAATTGTCATATGGTCAGAGTTGTTCATATGTTTTTATTAATTATTATTTATTCACAGTTTTGTTATAATTGTTTGGGCTGCCGAGTGTTTTATTACGAGTATATTGAGAGTTTTATTATGGTAAAAACAGGAATAGAATTCAAGAAAATATCGGGGCTCTGATTAATATGAAACTAAAAACAAAATGTAAAATGAACTAAACTTTTAAAGCATGCTGCTATATTATGTTATATGAAATATATAATACATCCCTATTTTTCTTTCAAAATCTATTAAATGAATATAAAATTAAATATATTCAAAACCAAAAAATATGTAGGTAACCAAAAAACAATATATAAATAGGTAAATGAAAATAAAACAATTCTTTAATGCAGTTAAGTTTAAAAGCAAAATTCACATGCCATTTGTTAGATTTTGTGTGACTCACTTAATAATGTCGGTTTGTGTGAGCGGTGAGAAGCACGATTTTAGATGAGTTTGTGTTCCATTATAATGTCAATGCTATGTTGTTATTGTTGGTGTTTGTCTCATTTCTTGACAAAAAAAGGGAAGGTGCATGATTTGTGGTTAATAGCTTACCAAAGGACTTGCAAGAATTACTCCGATCCTGCTTAGTACCGCTGGAAGACGCTGTAAAAATGTACACAAAATAATGTTCATACTCAAAACACACTTTAAGTTTGATTGAAGTTGGTGATTTTAGTTAGGATTGCTTTGATTCTGCGTCATTTTTGCATAGCTTAGTTGCTGTTATGTAAGATATTCGTTTTGCTTATGCTCAAGTTCTTGTCTCAAATAAATATAATCTTAAAAATCACAAAAATTGGGAACAATGTTTGATTTTTATTTGGGCTAAACATATCTTAAACATACATACTTTTATATGTATTTAAATTATATGTAATCTATAAAATCAAAATTCTTATACCTAAAAAAACATTTAACTTATATTTATACGTATTGGGAAACTTCATGAAAAGCGGTCGAAAAGTAAGAATACAATAGATACAGAATGCGAGCAAAGGGAAATCGCCCGCATAGTGTAGTTATGCTAATCCTAGCTAAGAAGCTAAAAACGCTAAGAAGCCGAAATCTTTACCTTATGCGAAGCACGTTCGCTTTAAGGCGGGGCCTGTAAAAATCCACCAGCAATTTTAGAAAATTGCCCTCTCGGTTAAGAATGTATATACATATGTATGAATAAAAGTTGGGGTGGAGTCTGATCGGCAGATTATAAATGATATCAATATATATTGTACATCGTATTTTCCATTCCCTGGTATTTGGAATATTTACAAAATCAAATGCTCTATTGTTTTATATGCTTATTTTTAATAGAACTTATTTCTGTAAGTTTTGTCAATACAGTAACACCTTCCTTAAGCGGACACCCACAGCCGCACTGTTTTTGTTCAGTTATGAGCTCTGTGCATATTCGGAGATTTTACTTTACATGTAATTTTGTTAGAAACATTTCTTGCTATTACTGTTATACATGTACTGAAAGCATAAGGGCTGTAAGTTCTTTTAGTGGGAGCATTTCCAGTTAATTATTTTGTTTAGGCTTCGTTGAGCATCTAAGTAATACGCCACAATTAAACTATGAAACAGATTCTGTGTGAGGCCAACATTTTTGGTAGATTGGAGCCATTTTAAAGCGAAAATAATTAATTTAATTTATATGAAAATGTAATTGAACGGCCTAAAAATGAGAAATATAAAAAGTGTATTTTTGAACTATGGTCGAAGATTTATTACATTTTTCATTACAAGAAAAGTTATTGTTTTAAATTAATTTATTTAAAAAAAAAAATAAATAAATTGTAAAAATAATGAAGAAAATTTCTATTGCCAAGATATTAAATCGAACATCTAAGCTATATTTTTTACATATCAAAAATCAGTTTTTCATCAATTTGCTTACCATAAATTAAAAAAATGGAGTAACAGAATATCTTTGTGATATCAGACCAATAAATCTTCAACCATAGCTCAGATACGCTTACAAAGTGAATGATTTATTATAATTGTTAGATTCGGTTCCGATTTTCGCTCGCATTAAAAAATTGCTAAAAAGCAAAGTCAAAACTTTAAAAATGTTTAGATTCTTATCATAAACAAAAAACAATTCTACTAAAAAAATAAATTAAATAAAAAAATGGTTGTATAAGTTACCAAGCCAACTTTATGGCATACCTCATAAGAGTTTATATTACTTAAAAAATTTCCTATACTGATATTTTTAAAAAAAAATTGTATTTCTTAAATTTGTTTGCAGAGACAAAAATCTTTTAGACAATTTTAATAAGGATTAGGCTGCCTGCAAGCAAATATATAACTAAATAATATTCATACACATTTTTGGTTATAAGCTTTGTTTTGTAACTACTAATTCTGAATCAATAAGATAATGATTTTTGTGCGTTTTTTTTTTAACGGATTTTAATGTTTAACAATTGGAGGAAATGAGAAAAAAAAATTTTTATTTTTTTTTCACTCCTGCATATTCGTAATGTAACACATATCACTATTTTTGCAAACCAAACCGATGTTACATTAAAGTTACAGGATGCCGCTCCGAATTAATTCTTGTGGCTGTTTGCTGTTACAACCATATAAAAAGATTTTAAGCTGGACTCTTATTTATTTATTTCAAGAAACTAATGGATTGATCATCAGCAGACCTTGTAAGAAGTTAGAGTCGGAAGGTTCATCTCTAATTTCATCTTCTAATTTCACAAACCCGAAAACTTCTTTACATAGAATAAAATCATTGGTAAAATATAGAAATCTGCTGAACAAATTTCAGTGACATGATTGCTCCAATAATATACAAGTGCATTTTAGCTCCCAGCCTATTCTATGCCATACAGGTGTACGGTATTACTGCCAAGTCGCACCTGAATAAGATCCGTGTGCTACAAGCTAAGACCTTGAGGATGATCTCTGGGTCTCCATGGTACATAAGGACACGTAACATTGAGCGCGACCTTAAGGTGCCCAAAATAGGTGACAGAATTCAAGTGATTGCCCAAAAATACACGGAGAGGCTAAGGAGGAAACTCAAACGCCATCACCCTCAAGACCTCCTGAACCGGGTCTTGACATAAATATCTCATACTAAAATTTAGACGATCTCCCCAGTATCACCCCTTAAGCCTCCCCTAATTCATTGTTATGTTCTATCATAAATTATTTTGTTATTTTTAGTTTAATTTTCTGATTAGTTTAAGTTGCAAGGCGCAAGGTACCAGCACACTTATCTCGGTAAATACATTTCATTATTACCTTAAAAAAAAAAAAAAAAAAAAAAAAATGATTGCTCCAATTATTAAAATAATATTTGCTGTAAGGTTCCAAAATATTACGAGCTTTCTTTAAGTTTTAAAGCTAACATATTGAATAATATACCGCACAACAAATGATTATTTCTTAATTTTCAACTACTTATATAGCTAAGAAACTAATTTAAATTTCAAAATGTGTATGAAGGTCATTAAAACCGGCTATTGAGGGCAAAACAGGAACAAATGCCCGATGAAATAGAAAAAAGTGATTTTTCGATATATGGAACCCCATATGCATAAGGAAAAGTAAACTTGATAACTTATACAAATTGACTGTTAGATAGTGTAAGTGCCTATGTTTGGGGCCCCAACCACCACAATAGTGAGGTTAAGCCTTATCGATTTATTATTGGCTCTCACATAGGGTTACTATAGCCAATAAAAACCCAGTGTTCTATATTGTCTTAGGTTTTACCATTCATGTTCAATTTGTTTTCATTTCCTTACACAGCCTCAACGAAATGCTTAACATGCACACTTTAATTATATATTAATTATATTAATTCATAGGCCTTATAATGTAAATAAATAAGTAGACCTACTGCCATAAGTAAAATCGTATTATTATTCGTTCAACAAAAATATTTTTAGACGCATAAGCAACATTGTTACTATACAACATTTACAAAAAGGAATGAAAATATTAGATTGCTTGGGACAAAGCAAATTAACAACACTTCTCTTTTTTGGAGCAGTAAGGGGGGATTTACTCATTATACCTTTTATATTAAAATAGCAGACGAAATAAATAGCTGAGCATCGCCACAAACATACAAACAGTGATCGAAAATAACTCACTCAACTTTGAAGTGTTCTAAATGCATGTTAAAGTTCAGAGGTAAGCAAAAAAAAAATTTCGTTTTGTGACAGTGCTTAGTGGGAAATAGTTTTCCGTGTTATTTATGTTTCCCTCATGTGGCGGCTTATTTTTGAGAGAGTAAGATTCCTTCAGTGACAGAAAAAGTTTAATAGAATGCTTGTGCTTTGCTAAACTAATTATTTGATACATGTTATTTATTTATATTTTATATTTTATAATTAGATGGCAAGCAACAAATATATACAGTAATAACATACACAACTAAATAAACTGAAACTTTTTTTCTGTTTTACTATACCAATCATAAAAAGACACTCTGGATAGTATATGTAAACGTTCAAAGTGTGTTCAGTGAAGGTTAATGTTTTCGCTCAACATAAAACATTCAGGAGAATGTCGGCATACTCCGAAAAAATAAATAAAATCGGGTTTGCTTAAGTACAGTGAGAAACACATTCAACATAAGTAGAGTGAGTTATTTTCGACCATCACGTACAAATATATATAAATACCTATATACATACATATATATAGTGACATATCCATAGTCGCACCCACCCTTTAACATAACTTAGCACATAAGCATAAGCACAATTATAAACATTTCTAATATTGTAAACAAAGAGCCTGGTGATAACATCGACATTGGTCAAGATCAAACTGTCCCCCTTTGGTAGACATAAACAATTCACCCTAAATATCACGCCACTGTCAATGTTCCCATCAGAGTACTATCCCACGCATAATTGCTGACGCAGCTCAAACTTCACTCAATTTTGACTCAAACTCTCTCAAAGCGAAGTTTGCTAAGCGACCGCAACAGTTAGATAAATCAGTTCATATTCGGGAAGCAAATCTGAATGTACTCAACAAAAGTAGCCGTTAAGTGAAAATAATAAATTGAAATATATTTTTTTATAGTAACCTAACGTGTAAAACTTAATTGGCGCAGCCGGTAGGATACGTCGGGAAAAATTAAAGATCGCTAAAGGATAATTAATTCCCAGATCTAACGCACAATCGCGACCGAAAGTGTTGTCGGAGTGTAATAAAAATTTTCTCGAATACGTATCCGCACAAGAACCTTCGGGTCACTAGTAGCTTAATAATATTGACCCTTTGGGCAATAAAGCTACTACAGTTAATAACGACTGGCTTTGCATATCGTTTGATCCCTGCAATACGTTATTACTGAGTCTTTTTAAGACACACACACAAAAAAAAAAAAACATTTAACCAATAATCCATCACAAACTTTAACCTAAAATAAAAGTGCAAAATCAAAGAACAATAAAGTTCAAACCTACAAACTCAAAACTATTCAAAAAAAAGTGTATTACACCAAGATGACAATGGAATTATCAGAACAACACCTCAACCAGGCCCTTTCACAACTTAGACAGGTGCCAAGCTTTGACGGATCAACGGATCAACTAAACGCCTTCATTAAAAGGATAGATTAC